TCTCTCTCTCGCAAATAAAAAAAAAAAAAAAAAAAATATTTATTTGTGAGAGAGCGAGTGAGCATGCAGGGAGGAGGGGCAGAGGAAGAGGGAGAGAGTTCCAAGCAGGCTTCACGCTCAGCGCAGAGCCTGATGCAGGGCTCAATCTCAGGACCATGAGTTCATGACCTGAGGCAAAATCAAGTCATATGCTTAACAGATTGAACCACCCAGGCGCCCCCCAAAATTTTTTTAATAAAATGCTTTTAATTCAAATGAATTCATGAAATTTCAGAAGGCACTGCAAGATCTCTTTCTTCAGGAAAATGCTACAGGTGAAAAGGGACAGAAGTCTCAGAAGCTACTCTTCAACATCACTTTCTCTCTCAGTATGCACCACCTCCACCAAGTGCCTGATATCTAGACTTTCCAACTTCTTCCTTTCTTAGACCAACCTGTTTGCAAAAGGGGTACACCATCCCTTTTAGACCTAACAGAAGACTGGCAAATATGACCACATTTTGGTCCTGGGTCTCCTCTTGGGATCCAAACTTATAGCACGAGTGCTTTATCTAACACAAGGTTTGTCTGCTGGCAAGTGGCAGAAAGATTAGCAAAGCTGATATCTTATAGCTTTAATATATTGAGGCATGCCAGTTTTAGCACACATGACTTCTAAAAATCAAATATTATACTCTACTCTTTGGAAATTTCAAAACACGTTGCTCCTGAAAAAGGAAAAGAGAAAAGAAGAGAAGAAGAGAAAAGAGAAGAATAGATATACCCTTAACTCCCTAATTAATAACATGAGGTTTTAAATCTCTCATTCAACTTAAATACAAACCTGTATGGGTGGAATATCTGGCAGTGATGGAAGGTTTTCAGGATTGGTGACTGAGGGGATTAGCTCTATTGCTGTAACAGATGGGCTCGTGGGACCTCGATTTGCATTTGCCATCGTAGCTGTAGTAGGGCTGGTTGGATTGATTGTGGTGTTGTGCACCGACACAACAGGAAAGGGTCCAGCATGCCCTGGGTTTGAGTGCTGTTAGGAAAAAAGATGTTATCATTACTTGATCTGCCAAGATATCCTAATATGAACTATACCTTCACAACAATTTTTAGGTTAGGAAAGATACATTAAGTGCTTGACATCTGTGACTGAGAAACAAAGAAGTAAGCACTATCTTAACAATAGCCAAGACACAGAAGCAACCTGTGTCCATGCACAGATGAATGGACAAAGAAGGCATGGTATGTATGTGGGTGTCTGTCTATGTATAAAATATGTATGTGTGTGTTTGTATACAGAACAGAGTATTATTCAGCCATAAAAAATGAGGCAATCATTTGCCACAGCATGGATGGACCTTGAAGGCATCATGCTAAGTGAAGGAAGACAGAGGAATACAAATACTGCATGATCTCATTTATATGTAGAATCTTAAAACAAAAACAAATGCATAGAAAAACAGTTCAGACTTGGTTTCCAGAGGCGGAGGATGGAAGAAGGGGAAATTAAAGGTGGTCAAAAAGGGAAAGGTACAAACTTCCAGTTGTAAGATAAAAAGTACTAGGGATGTAACATATGTACAATACAACCATAGTTTTAACACCATTGCATGACATATAGGAAAGCTGTTAAGAAAGTAAATTCTAAAGATGATGTGGTGTACATACGTGCGCGCGCGCGCGCACACACACACACACACACACACACACACAAATGGAATATTACTCAGCCATCAAAAAGAATGAAATCTTGTCATCTACAATGACATAGATGGAGCTAGAGTGTATTATCCTAAGCAAAATAAGTCAAAGAAAGACAAATACCCTATGATTTCATGCATATGTGGAATTTAAGAAACAAAACAGATAAACATATGGGAGGGGGAAAAAAAGAAAAGAAGAGAGGGAAACAAACCATAAGAGACTCTTAAAGACAGAGAACAAACTGAGGGTGGATGGAGGGAGGTGGGTGGGGAATGGGCTAGATGGGGGACGGGTATTAAAGAGGGCACTTGTGATGAGCACTGGGTTTTGTAAGTAAGTGATGAATCACTGAATTCTACTCCTGAAACCAATACTGCACTGTATGTTAACTCACTAGAATTTAAATTAAAAATTTGAAAAGAAAAAAAAGTAAATGCTAAGAGTTCTTATTACAAGGAGAAAAAAAATTTGTTTCTTTTATTTTTATTGTTATCTATATAACATGATGGATGTTAGCAGAACCTACTGTAGCAATCATTTCACAGTATATGCAAATCAAACCATTATGCTGTTAAGTCTTAAATTTATAACGTGATGTACATCAATCATTAATCAATAAAACTGGAAAAAAAAGAGTAAGCCTTCTCCAACTTATACAAAAAAGTAATCATAATTCAAACTTAGGCTTTTCATTTTCCTACTCATTTTTGTGTAGTATTAGGAAAAGGCAGACTTGCCAATAATTTTCAACCTGTCAACCTGGTGATATGATGTTATTTCAGAACAAAGATGTATATAAATAGATGATCTGGAAGCCCCCAAAGTTTTCAAACATCAGACCAGGAAAGCCACTGCTCTATTTATAGTCCTCTTTAACTCTTTTGTCTTTTTAAAAATAAAAATAATTGTGAAAAAAATTGTGTAGTTGTACATTGTATAACTGATAAGGTAGGAAAAAAACAATGAATGTACAAATAGAAATATGACACCAATTCCTGATTATAATACTCTGTGACTTCAGGCAAATCACATCTCAGTAATTTAGAAATGTGGCTAATACCTCACTTGTCTCATTGTGAGGGACCATTAGGAGGATCATCTTTAAGGTAATATGGATAAAAAATCCTTGGGAAACAAATTATACATGTATCAACAAATCATTAGAAATTTAAACATATAAAATTCTAACATCCAGTGATTTCTGTAGGAGCCCTGAAGCCTGATTCTGCAGCTTCTGTGCTCTTCCAAAGGGTGTGCCTGCCTCCTGGCAATACTTGAGGGCTTTCCACATTCTAACAGGCACATGGGTATGTTAACAGCTGTAAAGAAATTAATGTCCATTTCTTCAACCTTTATATATATTTTTTCTAAAGAAAACCCGATTTCCCTAGGAATGTGCCAGAGTCTACAGGCTCTCCTCTTCTTCCTTCACTACTGCGCTTCTCCCCCAGCCTCAGAACAGCACAGCTCTGACTGGATCCTCATCTTATCTAGCACACCGCCCCAGGGGCAGAAAATACTTGTGGAAAGACAAGCAAAGGTGAGTGTCAAGCTGGTGGAAAAGTGCCCAGCTCAAAACCCTGGTAACAGATCTCTAAGTGGGTTCTGATACCTGATGATCAACAAAAACAAAAGACCCAGGGGCACCTGGGTGGCTCAGTCGGTTAAGCGTCTGCCTTCGGCTCAGGTCATGATCCCAGGGTCCTGGGATCGAGCCCCGCATCAGGCTCCCTACTCCGCGGGAAGCCTGCTTCTCCCTCTCCCACTCCCCCTGCTTGTGTTCCTTCTCTTGCTGTGTCTCTTTCTATCAAATAAATAAACTCTTAAAAAAAAAAAAAAAAAGACCTAAAGAAACTGTCAAATGATAAAAAGACTGATAAAACAGTATTGATAGCTCATTTTGAGTTTTAGTTTATAACCTACAAAAGTTTAAACAACTGAGGAACATGAGAAATTTCTTTTAATTCCCAGATACATGATTTTGTGAACAAATTTCCCGAGGATCATGAGAAAAAAAAAAACTTAATAAAAATATTGAATTCTAACTTACTCTAATAAGTAATATACAAATATATATACATGAATAGGAAGGGGGAAAAGGCTTTTCCTATCTCATAAAGAAATGTATACCTAAAAGAATTTTACTTTTTATGTTTCCTAATACTCTTAAATCATGTAAATATATTTATGTTGTTTAAACAATTGTATAGGAGTTATTGTCATGAAAATTTGGTCCAGGAAAAATCTTTTTAAGCTTAATAATAGTCTTATTGTTGCTGGAAATTTAAGAATTTTTAAATTGAGAGACATTTTTCCCACAGAAAACTGCAACTAACTAATCTATAAGTCTATCAAACGTAAGTATATTAAGATAAAATTCTGTAGAGAGAGTAGAAGATTCAAGTCCAATTCAAGTCCAAGGAGAAAGACAGAATAAAATTTTGACTTTCAAAAAAGAGCTTGCTATGGTATTTGGGATTCTAATGGATTTGTCTACAAGAATGATATAAGGGTTTTACTTTATAATGTCAATATTTACAATATGCCAGAAAATACGTCCTCGGCAACCATTTAAATTTAAGTTTATAATGGAACTTTTAAGTGTCAACTGTAAACGTGAGGGAGTGCATTTTTTTCAAGTCTTTCCAGAGATACTTGGGCCTAAAAGTTGAAGGACCACTGCTCTGGGACTGTTGATCCAACTTCAGTATGCAGATTGATCTGAAAGTTAAGTAAAAATTCACATATTTCTGAGTATTCCACTCCTAAAAATTCTGATTCAGTAACTATGGCTCAGAATCTATTTCTGACAAGGACCCCCCTCCCCCGCCAAGTCATTCTGAGGGCCATTAAAGCACGCTAGGAGAAATATCACTGTAGCAGTTATAAAATGAACTTTATTCTTTTATAACTAAAAATCACATGTAAAAGTAGTCTGATTGTATAATCCTAACTCCTATTCAAATATAACCTGCTATTCAGGCAAAAATTAGAAAACATGTTTCTAAATACATTTATTTTTAAGAGTAGGCACATCTATATCCTTAAAAGAAAAATAAGCAAAGAGAGGCAAAAAATAAATAAATAAATTACATATAGCGTAGCTCTATTGTTTTCAAAGTCCTTTTTATAGATTAGGTTCCAAACACCTCATTAAAAGAGTAGAGGAACAATTTCAGCAAACTAAGGTTCTAATCTTGACTTTACCATTACCTCTTGTGACTGGATAAATAACAAGCTCCTGTGTTTTCTACTTCTATAAAATGAATTGGCTGGACTAGGGTTCTTAACCCACAGGATATAATGGGTTGAATGTCATTAAAGAAGCTCTTAAAATTGAATTCATGTGTATGTGTATTTTTCTGGGACAAGAAAATACACAGCATTAATCAAATTCTCAAAGGTATCAATGGCCACACAGCACACCCCCCCCAACTGATTAAGAAGAATGATGTCTTTTAGTTTTAAAATTGTATGATTCTTACAAATGTAACTCTAGGCATACTTGTCTTTGGAGGTGTGGCTGCATCATGGAATACTGAGGGCCGCTGTGCCTGGGTATCCCTGGTATTCGGGCAGCATTCTGAGCCAATCTCATCTGATGGGCTTGGAAAGCTCCACAGTTCATGTTGCCTCTTTGCATTGTTTGCACACTGATCAATCTCGGAGGCTACAAAAAGCAGAAATTGCATTTATGTAATAATATTTGTTATATATATACCTTGCAATTATAAAATATTATGGGAAAAATCATTCTGTCAGGACAGAAGGGCATAAAGTAAAAAGTGTAAGTAACATTCTCCCCATCTCTAGCCCCAATCCCTTCCTCTCAATACACGTGTGTATTTATAGCCTATTAACATTAACTTATCCAACCCTGGATTAATGGTTTTGATTTGGATGGGGGTGGGGAGATCAGGAGAGATACAGGGATGGAAATGATTTGAACAAATGCCTAAAGAACTTATCAGATTGGGGCGCCTAGGTGGCTCAGTCGGTTAAGCGTCCAACTCTTGATTTCGGTTCAGGTTGTGATCTCAGGGTCGTGGGATCAAGCCCTGTGTGGGGCTCTGCACTCAGTGTGGAGTCTGCTCCAGATTTCCTCTCCCCCACCCCCTTCTTAAATAAATAAATAAATGAAATAAATAAATAAATAAGAACTTATCAGATCCTAGGCAAAAACTATCTGTCCCTCTGGCCCAACAAAACCACATGTGGAAAACAAAAAATATCTGGTATGGAGGGATAAAATCTTGTGCTCCTCCATAGTACTAGTGAATTAATTTTGTTTCCCATGGTAAGTATTTATTTAATACCCTTCCTCACATCTCCCCCAAATCCCTGCCAAACCCAGAGCAAATATTTAAAATCTAACCTTTGAACTTTGTCCCTGCTAGTAACGTTGAAATGTGTAATTCATCCATACAGGACAGAGTGTAATCCTGAGGCCTTCATAATTTGTCAATAATGTCATGATGTAATAATGCTCACCTGTTGCTGTAACATCTGTGGGGCTGCTTGTCTAGGGTGCTGCTGTGTTGTTGTTGTTGTTGTTGATACAGGTGCAGGTGGTTGCTGCATTCTCATCTGTTGCAACTGCTGATGTTTCTGTGCATACACTTGTTGTTGCATGTGCTGGAGTCGAAGCTGTGCTAAGTTAATCTGTCCAGGGGTTTTACTAATGTGGTTTGTCCCTGGAGGAACTTGCCCAACTACAACATTAGGAGTATAACCAGGAGCTGGTTTACTCTCTATTACTAGATTACCTGAAGGATTTAAAAAATGAGAATAATTTGCATATAAATGATTATATCATCTACTTTGTGGATTAGTCACTATCTTTTCCTCTTTCCTTTGACAACTATCAGCACTCAAAGCTTCTGACAGTACAGCAGAGATGGGAGCTAGGTTTAAAGATAATGAAGATCAGAAACATAGTCCAAAGCCAAATAATTGACTTTGAGTCTTCAGAATAATATATTACCTGCCCTTTTTCTTTACTTACACAAATGCACAGAAAATTAAAGATCTGAAAGAGATACTATAAGAGGAGGCCCACATAGTCAAAACCAATTCTCCCGGACAGACTCAAGGATACCTAAGATTGCTAACGCTGATGCCATCTGCCTTTGAATTTCCGAAGTCTACAGGGCAGAGTAGGACACTGCTCCAAAACTGTCTGTGGAAACATGGATGTTTAACCACTTACATCGCTAAAAATGACAATTTTCCTTGCCTCTTACTGAGCCCAGTGCTTTCTAGGAATAGAAAGCAAATTTTAGGAAGGTTTGATATAAGGCAGAGTTGGCAAACCTTTCCTTTAATGGGTCAGGTATTTTAGGCCTTGCAGGCCACGTAAGATCTATCATATATTCTTTTATTTTCATTTGTTTTTACAACCCTTTAAAATGTAAAAAACAAACTCAGCTACCATGCCACACACAGTTTGCCAATGCCCGATCTAAGGCTATAAACAAATTTTAATATACACAAAGATTACTTATTTACAGAAAGCCATCCACCTCTGCTTTTACAACTTCCAATAGTGAGGATCTGACTATTTTGAAAGTGAGTTTACTCATCTGTAGACAATTCTAATTGTTGGGAAGTTTTTGGCCTTTGTTGTGAATTGAGCTGTTTGTCTGTCTCCCTGTAAATTTCACCTATGGTCCGCAGGTCCACACTGTGGAGTAACTAGAGTGAAGTCCATTTCTCTTCCGTGTGGAAAAGAGCTACTCTTATCTTTCAAACATTCCTCAGTATATGACTTTCAGACACATCAGTATCCTGGAGGTCCTCCTCTAGTGGACAATTTGGTACTAAATTTATATACAAACTACTAAGCATCTAATAAATTCTTCCAGAGAATGAAACCCCATTTGCTAATAAGTTTTTGACATGAAGCAGTCATTATCAATTTTAAAAGATGGGGAAAAGTTAGCAATGATACACATTTTTAAAATCTACACATAGGAGAAGCTCAACATTCTTAAAGATGTCATGAACATAGCTCGAGTTCCCAATGAAGAACATATTTTCCAAGAAGTTTACATGTTAGAGTGAAGTTTCAAGTATCTAAAATTTGCTTTAGATGTTTTCTCCTCCTAATTCAGTGTACCCAGTTACATTCATAAAACTAATTATTTCTCACCTAAATTGACTACATTCTTTGCCCAGAAGGTGGGATCACAATGGAAACGAATTGCTCCATTAGCAGCAGGCACAGGATCACACCGTGCTTTCAAAATATGGCGCAACTGAAAAGTAATCTTAAAGGGAAAAAATTCACATTAGTCTTAAAAATTATAAGGATCACTTGAGAAAACATACATGATAAAGACATAAAAAGCTCATGTAGCCCCACAATATCAATCTCAGATGAGACAGTATGTGTTTAAACGGCTATCTATATTAGCAATCAAATGCACATGCTTGAACTTCTGACATTTCTGGTGATAAACTATGTTCCGATGGTGATAAACTACTAGGTACATTACGATATTAGGTATCTTCAGGACAGTAAATACTGTATGATTCCATTCGTATGCATTCCAGAAAGTGAGAGAAATCAGACTATGGTTGCCTACGGTCAGGAGCAGAGGGGAACAAGGACACTTCTGTGGGTGACGGAAATTTTCTGTATCTTAACGTGGCGGTGGTTACACTTGCAAAAAATACAAAATCTACACTTTACCCAAGTGCAATTCACTGAATATAAGTATCTCAATAGAGTCCACTTAGAGACCATAAATATACTATACTATGTGTCTCACCAGTCGCTTGCTGTACAGTAGTGCTGTGCTGCTGCCACTCGCAATTGCCCAGTTTGTAAAGTTCATAACATGCTTCACCTGCCGGGAGAGGCCCGTGATGTCGTTCTGCTGCTGCAGTAACTTCATCTGTCTTTCTTTTGTAACATTCTGAAACAGAATAAGAATTCAATGACGAATTCTATATGAAAAATGCAACTCACAATTTTTATTGCAAATGAATACCTACATTGCTTTTTAAAATTAGGATAAGTTGACAAGCACCTCATTATTTAATGAGTCTCTGATCAAAAGAAAAGTCACTAACAAAAGCGGAACGAAAACTTAAGTTCCCTAAGCTAGTAACGGACATTCCATATATAGAAATTAATGTTAGTTGATGTCTCTCTTTTCCTTCAGAAGATAAAAATGTCTTTATTAAAAACAGTATCTGTTATTAGGCTGATCCAATACACAGAATCTATGGCATAATGAGCTGACCTTTAGAAATATGATATACTCAACTCTACTTTTCAGACCAAAGAAAATTTTGTGTTGCCAGTGCCACCTACTGGTGCAGCATGAGGATAGAGTTAAAATCTCTTCCTTTAAATACTTTAGACAAAATGAGAAACGTAAATTCCAAAGTTCTAAGAGCAGAGTTAGGGAAACTTTTAAAACGACAAAAGTTCATAAAAGAACAAGAAAGTCAGTAAGAGTTGAAGGACCAATTTTGGGGGAAATGCTGCAAAGGAAAATTAAACTGTCTGGGAACTAAAACTCCTAGAAGCAATAGGTGATGTCCTATACACTTTGACATTTGGCATGCCAAACAACCTATCTACTTGGTACTTAACCATTTTTCTTAAAGCCTCAACTTGATTTATTGGACAAATTTTCTCCTAAGAAAACAAGTTGCTCATTTTGTAATGTAAAACAGGGGATAAAAGTATTCAACTGATAGAAGCTTGATTCACAACTTCCCTGGAAATCATCCCTTTATAACAAAGCTTAGGAAAACCTGTTTTACAAAGTTTAAGAACATTTTTACACTAGAAAACATGTTTAAATTCAGCATATTAGGAGTATGTGGCAGATTTATCATCTCGTATTTTTGAGTATTTTAGTATTAAGAGGCATCTTTTCACTCAAAAATTCTTGAAACTGTTTAAGAACATTATTTTAGACCTATAGTTAAAATGTATTTGCAGTAACTTAAAAGGTTATCAAAAATAGTTGCTGCTCAGTGCTCTCCATTCACACAGTCCTTTTGAAAACAAAAATCTAGTAGAGTTAAATGCATCAGCTGGATGCACAACAAGAAAGAGACCTCCAACTTTAACAGTATGTGCGAGAGTTTTAATCTCACAACTGTGTCTCAATAAAAAGATGTATTTCAAAAGACTAAATTCAGAAATAGCACTGCCAACATCATTTCTTTCATTTGTATGTAACTATGTGTCTAATATTTCTACAATGTTCTATGAAGGACTGGAACAGAAAAAAGAAACGTGGAAAATGTGAGGTTAATAGTAATGGAAGTTAAAAAATCAAATACATAGTTTAAATTGCTACCATTTAATGGTGCAGAAAACACAACCCCGTATCATCTAAGCCTACTTAAGAGCACCAAATCTTGAAAACCAATGAAATGTGGTCAGTAGAGGCAACTCTTTAAAACTTAATTTGGGTTTCACAAATTGACTGATTCTTATCTAGAAATTTATATCTACATATTAATCTCAAAATATGAAACAAAAAACAATACAACAAAATTATCAGTGAGTTTAAAGTTTATAAATTTCAAAATGAGCATTTTTAGCAAAACTATGGAATGTTTTTAAAATAAAGTGAAACACACAAAGGACTCAAGCAGACTCCCAATATACATTCACATGTAATAGTTAAATTGAGGGCCTATCTTGGGGGGTGGGGAGGATGTAGCAGGTTGGCTTTGTCTTAGTTTATATAACATTTTAGTAATAATTCTTTCATTCCTAAGAGGACAACACTATCTCCTAATTTATACAGCTAAAATCAGTATTATTAAATTGGGCTGCAAATTAACTAACTCAATAAAGCTCTATTTTCCAATAGAAAATGAAATAAAAAAATGTTTTTAACTTTCTTTAACTTCCATGCCCCCCCAACCAATCTAAAAGAGCTTTCAATAAACATTAAAAACAGCTAAAGAGCAACAGAAGCAGTTTTTGTTTTATTTTGGCTTTGAACCGTACCTCTAGCTGTTGTAAGAGAGATTTTCCTTTCTTATTAATTTCATTGATAAGGGTGAAAATGGCCACTTTAATTTCCTGTTCTACTCGTTTGTTAGTCTCATTTACTTCTTTTATCCTGAATAAGAGAAATGCATCATTAGGTTATCAACTTATCCTATGTGTCTGAATCATCAACTGTTACAGAAATTCATCCAACTGGGCAATTAAAGCGAGTAATTAAAATTAAACCTTTGTCAAAATGTACAATTTATGTTTCGGTAGACCTGAGCACTCAATTTGGTCCAAACAAGTTATTTATACAAAGAACGGAATATTTAGTAATTTTAAATTAAGTTCATAAAGGCTAGTTTATTACTCTAGATGGCAATCTCCTTTAGTTCCTATGACCTGAATGTGATATATAAACATTTGACATCAACATTTGTTGTCTAGTGTCAAATCTGGCACCTTGGATCTACTTAATACTTTTCAAGAACAATGTGCAAAAGAACAATGTTGCAAACAGTAATTATCTGTTGAAATAACAGGAATTAAACTTAGAAGCATTTATTTTCTCTTACAACTTAACCACTTCATATGTGGGTTCTGATACACGCCCCCCCCCCTTAGGCTCTGCTCAAAACAGTTTTCCTACTGTACAGAATTAAGGGTATAAAACAACTTCAATCAACTTTGTAAAAGAGTTGTCAGATGTTTTAGAATAGGTATAAGCTCCCATTTTGGCAATGAAAAGTTTTGGTTGCAGATATGAAATAGCTGATACCTATTTCATTGGGGGCGGGGGGTCCCACCAATATACATATGTAAAATGTTAAACAATCAAAGAAAGCAGCCTTCAACTTTTACATTCTACTTCTTTACAAATTATTATCCATATTTTCAACCTCTAAAATATCTTTTATTTGCCCAATTCAAATTTGAGTAACTTTAATATAATCTGAGTAATTATAGTGTAATTTTCCCTCCTTTGTCTATACATCAGCACATGTTTGGGCACTTATTTGAAAATTTTATTCAATTCTGTTCTTATTAAAGTGTGTAGAAGATGTCTTTTTAAAAAATAAGCGTGCTAATTACTATTGATAATGTAAGATTCCAACTTAAAATGATTCAGCCAAAGACTAAAATCATTAAGCAAACTAAAAGCAGAGAACAGTTAGCCATAGTCAGATTCTCATTAGATTTAAGGATGTCTACTATATGTTCAATTGTGAAGAAAGAAATCAATGTACATTAAAAAATGGAGATAGGTCATTAAAGAATGTGTCTAAAGGGAAGTATTATCAGAGATTTCAATACTTTTAAAAAAAATCTTATTGGAGATGTAATCATTAGTCTCCCCAACCCTCTGCAATTTTATAACACATAAACTTCTTGTTCTCCTTCTCTACACAGATTCAGAAATACATATATAAAATATGTACAAAACATTTGTACAAAAATATGGGACGCCATATGAATCAACTCACTATCCTTTCTCTGAAAAGGATATTCATCTGTTATTTATGAGAAGGTAGCTACCAAACTTCTCCAGTATCACCCACAACATAGCAGTATCACTAAAACATCCTGACATTTTCATAACAATTAACCATCCATGAATAGTTTATGTAACATATTAGTGTAGGTATATACAGCTGACCCTTGAGCAAAGTGGGGGTTAGGAGCACCTACCCCCATGCAGTAAAAAATCCATGATACCTTTTGACTCCCCAAAAACTTAGCTAGTGGCCTGTTGACCAGAAGCCTTACTGCTAACATAAACAGCCGATTAACACATGTCATGTTATATGTATCACATACTATATTAACAATCAAGTGAGCTAGAGAAAAGAAAATGTTATATTTATTGAAAAAAATATATAAGTGGACCCCACAGTTCAAATCCACATTGTTCAAGGGTCAACTGCATTGTTACATCTACAACCTCAGAATAGCCTTTGTTTGCTTTTGGTATCACTTCGTAAGATGAAAGTTAAGATGGAAGTTCTACCACCTTATGGTCTAATATATAATGTACTATTCATTCATTCATCTATTTCATACTTTTGAGTATCTATTGTCATTTTTAATCATTTTAATCATCATAAATTAACTTCAACAGTCCAGAAGTACCTAAAAGTCTCAATATTTGTGAAACTGAAAAATAAATACTTATTAACCCTATTCACACCTTCAGGAATATATAGATTTTAATTATGCCAGCTCCAAGTGTTCATCTTTCTACACTGAGTCCTGACCTTGTTAATGTACTCATTTATGGAACCTATTCCAACTTGCCTTATCAATAAATTTAGTTCATTTAGAAATGAACCTGAATAAAATTTTTAAATACTGATGGTATTATTGATAAATAGTAACAGTTAAAATCTGAGGGTCTGCTATGTGCCACAAGCTGTGCTATACATTGATCTTATAATAACACTATTAAGAGAAGTGGTATTTTTAACTCTTGTTTTACAGATGAGAAGGTAAATTTACCCACCATTCTTCATACTCTCTCCTCTATACTATGTCTCCCACATAGTTAAAATTTGTAATTCAACTCTCTACGTGTTAATTGCTTTTTACACAGTTATTTAAGGCCTTACAGAGTCTAGAGTTTTGTTGATTATAAAATAGTCAAAGATGTATCTTAAAGAGTATTCAAAATTTTGAATTAAATCTTACTCAACTAACAAATATTATAATCCAAACTCAAACTTATATGATTTACCCTTCCAAAAATGTTTTCTATATATGTTTAATATAATATAGAAGGAAAACACAAGTAAACTGGACCTACTGTGTTTATTAATTCTTAAAGTGAAATTATGGTTTTAAGGCAACACACTCACCTATTCTGCACCTGAGTAGCTGCAAAATGAACATAATTCTTCTTCTCAAGAAGCTTAGCCAGTAGATTCTCAATTGCACCTTTCTGGTTTTGAAAAGCTTCTTCCAAAAACTGGTATCTTAGAACAAAAACAAAAACAAAAACTACATTTAGAATGGAAAATTTACTATTAAAATTCTTTTTTTTTTATTTAAAGATTTTATTTATTTATTCATGAGAGACAGAGAGAGAGAGAGAAGCAGAGGGAGAAACAGGCTCCCAAGGAGCAGGGAGCCCGATGTGAGACTCGATCCCAGGACCCTGGGATCATGACCTGAGCCGAAGGCAGATGCTTAACCATCTGAGCCACCCAGGCGCCCTGAAAATTTACTATTAAAATTCTTAAAATGAATTGCTACATGACTCAAACTTAAGACCTTACTTAAATGATGGACATTCTATGCTGCCCTCACATACCTTACCTCAACAGCAACTTTTAACTACCAATCCCTTTCCTTCTGACCTGAGCCTGAGAAGCCATTTTGTAAAACTAAAAAAATTAACTTAAAAACTGTTCAAGTGCTCTTACATAAGGATTTTGATTCAGAATTACATTTTTAAAAAATCCAAATATTGGAATAAGTTGTATACATTTTAAATCATAAAATATAAATTATAGAAAATACTTTCCAAAGTGGGGAAACTACCCCTAGTTTTAACATCATAAAACCACTACTACCACTGTAATATATATTCCTTAGCCTTTTAATTCCGTATTCCAAAATACAAGTATATAGAATGTATGTGCAATTTTACATCTGACTTTTCTTTGTCTTTACAATCACCATTTGAAACAATTTTCAGCGCTCCATACTAGTCAAATTTTTCGAAGAGTTGAACCAATTAAAAATCACCAACACCAGTTTTATTGTAACTTTGTCAACGTGAGTGGTGTTTATTATTTCCTAATATTATTGTGTGAAAATTTACACTTGAGAGTAAAGACTACAGTTCTTTGGCTACTAGGAGGGTAGAATGGTTTTCTTTCCTAGTTTTAGTTCCTTTGTGTAAATTGTTCATTAAGTCAACAAATATTTTTGGGATTCTTCTGTATGTTAGGGATACATGAGTAAAAAAAATCCATTATTGTTCATATTCTTGTAATAAATAGGCACACATATGAAATGATACCATACTGTGTTAAGAACTATAATGGAGATACATATAGTCTGCAATAAGAACACAGCCTTAATACCAACGAAAGCTTCACAGTAAAGTCAGAATAGTATTATCATATGCTAAATACAGAGGCATATTTAGGGAACTACAAAGACTTCAATTTAGCCAAAGAAAGCCAGGCAAAGGTCAAAATATGAGATAATAATTAATAAAATCCAGAATCAGGCTGTGAAAGGCTGGGTATGCCATGCTAATGTTTGGATTTTACCTTCTCAGTAATGGGAAACCCTTGAAAAATTCTAACCAAGATGTAATAATCAGATTTATGTTCCAGGAAAATCGTCAGACAGAAATATAAAAGATAAATCCGAAGAAGAGAGAACAGGATGACCAGCTAGAACTCTATGACAGTAGCTCAGATAAGGTATCAGAATATAACACTAGCTGGCATAGCTGCACAAACAAGCCTGAACAATGGACTCTGTCAGAGATCAGCACCTTTGGTAATTTGGGAGTTTACATGCTCCAGTTAATGTAAGGTCTATGGTATGACCTAAAAATTAAATGCCTAGCTAAGGCACGGTCAAGAGAAGGTCACTGGAAATGAGCTCAAGATACAGACAAAGTTACAACTGTCTATGTGGATACTGAAATCACTAAAGGCAGAAATTGAGATTAAGAGTAAGACTATGAGCATCTAGATGTCTGTGTCTTCAGCGAAAGTCTCGCTTAAGGTAAATTTAGGATAAAAGGTTAAAAAGTTGTGAATGCGGAGGGAAGTTTGGAAAGATGAAGGAAAAGTTCACTTAGTGCTCGGGTTCAAGAGGTAAAGGAAAAATGGAGGGCAGTAGAAGGCAAAATGTACAGCAATATGAGGACTGGTATAAGAGAGAACATTCAGCAACTGAGGTTTTTATTTTGTGCATTGCTTTTAAGAATTTTTTTATTGTAGTAAAACATACTTAATAAAATTGGCCACTTTACGATTTTTAAGAATTCATTTTTAAAGCAAAACGAAACAAAAAAATCCAAACCCTGTCTGTAATGTAAAGTCTAATAACACTTTATAGTTTAAGATATTAAACAGCAAAAAAAGATGTGGGTATTTTAATTTTAAATTAAAACTATCAAAATTAACTAAAACTATCTACTGTTAGATAGGTAACCCAAAGATTGTTTCATTTCATTATTTCACTGAAAAACATTTGATTTATTCCATATACCACAATTTCTCTATGTCAAAAATAAAATTTTACCTTGTTAAATCTGTACAAATGAAGTAGGAATATGAGATTACCATGCTAATCAGTTACCATTTGTGACTCAATGAGCTTTAAATTGAGATGAAGAAAGATCTTTTGACAGAGTTTGATTATGTCAGTAAATAGAAAGGCACTTGGTAGAAAGGCCAACTAGTATCATAATTCACAAAATTTTAATTCCTAAAATTTAACCCTGTACAAATTTATTTCTCTTCTCACCTCAAAATAAACGTTTCGGAATCCTGTTTCTAGAAATAGCTTCTTGATTCATGTGAACAAGTATTAAGCAAACACACTATGATATACCTACATTTAAGTATGTGTTCTTTTCTCCCCTTATACAGGAGTTGACATTTGAGCTGGATGTTTAAGGATGAGTAAGAGTACTCGGGATAAACTTGGGAGGGAGGTAAGCTCTCCCACTGGGGAAAAAAAAAAATCTGAATGTATATTAGTTCATAGTTCTGAAGCGATCTGTCATTTTCAAGGCTAAGGAAAAGAGAGCAAAACCAGAAAAGTAGAGAAATACGAGATGCTAAAAAGACTTGCACATTTTGCTTAAGTTGCATTCAGATAATAAATAATAGTGAACCATTAAGGAATTGAATGAAAAGTGATAATCAGATTTGTCTCTGTTCACTTGATTAATTTCAATTATATTATTAGGAGAAAAATACTAACTGGATCTTGAACAACAAAAAAGCAACGTGGAAGTAGTTTGGGCTACAACTTCTGATTCTCCTAGCTAACAGAATAAATAACTCTGCATTTTCATTTTTAGCAAATCAAAATTATAGTTGAAATACCCCAGGGGCTCCTGGGTGGCTCAGTCGTTAAGCGTCTGCCTTCGGCTCAGGTCATGATCCCAGGGTCCTGGGATCGAGCCCCTCATGGGGCTCCCTGCTCAGAGGGAAGCCTGCTTCTCCCTCTCCCACTCCACCTGCTTGTGTTCCTGCTCTCGCTGTGTCTCTGTCAAATAAACAAATAAAATCTTTAAAAAAAAAAAAAAGAAATACTTCAGAAAGGGGGAGAAAAAAGAAAAACCAATAAATGGATTAAGTATAATTTCCATTAGGAGCGCCTGGGTGGCTCAGTTGGTTAAGCGTCCCAACTCTAGATTTCGGGTCAGGTCATGATCTCAGGATCCTGGGATGGAGCCCCAAGTCAGGCTCTGAACTCAATGGGGAGTCTGCTTGAGAATTTCTCTCTCCCTCTCCTTCAGCCGCTCCCCCCTGCACTCTCTCTCTCTAGGTCTCTCCAAAATAAATAAATAAATCTTTTTTTAAAATATAATTTTGAGGGGCACCTGGGTGGCTCAATCGTTAAGCGTATACCTTCGGCTCAGGTCACAGTCCCAGAGTCCTGGGATTGAGCCCCACCTCGGGCTCCCTGCTCTGCGGGAAGCCTGCTTCTCCCTCTCCCACTCCCCCTGCTTGTGTTCCTTCTCTCGCTTTGTCTCTCTCTGTCAGATAAATAAAATCTTTTAATAATCTTTTAAAAAACCTGTCCCTTTGCCAAATTTATATAAAAATAATAAAATAATAAAATATAATTTTGATTAATATGTAAACACATGAAAGCCTTCTCTTAGGTGTTAATCTTTTATATGAAGTAGAAGTGATTCTTAACCTGGGCTTCAACTCACAGTGAGTTATATTCAGTATTTCAAAATGTGTAGGTAAAAATTACAGATGCCCATGATTTAGTTAGGATAGGCAGGCTAGGTAAGACTTTCTGTGCTTTTTAAATTTTTTTTTAAGATTTTACTTATTTATTTGAGATAGAGAGCACAAGGCGGCGGGGGGGTGGTGAGAGGGAGAAGCAGACTCCCCACCAAGCAGGAAGCCCGATGCGGGACTCAATCCTGGGACTCCAGGATCATGACCTGAGCCGAAAGCAGTCGCTTAACCAACTGAGCCACACAGGTGCCGAGACTTTCTGTGCTTTTGATTAGAATCATAGAAACTCAGGATAATATATAAACCACTGGTTATGTAGTTTAGAACAGAAATTATCATCATGATTATATGTTTTTTATTACTGAGAAATAAATTATTATTTAATGCAGTTTGCTAAGAAATTTTTGAAAACATGGTTCTCAGAAGACTGGGAAATGAATAAGGGCTTTTTTTTTTTAAGATTTTATTTATTTATTTGACAGAGACACAGTGAGAGAGGGAACACAAGCAGGGGGAGTGGGAGAGGGAGAAGCAGGCTTCCCGCTGAGCAGGGAGCCCCATGCGGGGCTCGATCCCAGGACCCTGGGTTCATGACCTGAGCCGAAGGCAGACCCTTAATGACTGAGCCACCAGGCGCCCCATCATCTTAGTTTATAACCAAACTGAATATCCACTTTTTAGCTAGTATATAAAAATTCTGACTCAGTATCTTTTTTAAGTATCAGTATTTTTTTAAGATCTTGAGAGAGAGAGAGTGCACATGTGTGAGTGGGGGGAGAGGAAGAGGGAGAGAATCTCAAGCAGACTCCCTGTTTAATCATTCCTTACACTGTACTTTTAGGTACTTCTCTGTATATATGATATTGTCTTGTGATTTTAAAACTTTTAAAAGTATGCAGTCGTTAGTGATATGCAATGAATTCTTCTATTTGCCAGTAAGTATTCAAAGGGTAGGGATACCACAGTAAACAAAACAAAATATGGTCATCATCTTCTTCCTTTCCTTACATTCTAACTGA